GTCGTCGTCGTCGTCGTCGTCGTCGTCGTCGTCGTCGTCGTCGTCGTCGTCGTCGTCGTCGTTGTCGTCGTCGTCGTCGTCGTCGTCGCTGGAGGTCTGGGCGCAGCAGGCTTGAGGCGGCCAGACAGGTTACGGAGCAGAAGAGGCGGGGAGAAAGAGGGAGGGGGAGAGACCCAATAAGGCTGAGGAAGCAATCCGAATGGGCTAGCGGGACACGGCCCTCGTGTGGGGCGTGCCGAAATGGTCGCGGGGACGCCATGCGACTTCCTCCACTGAGGCCAGAGGTGTGCCAAAGTGGGTATGCGGAGAGCAGAGACGAGGAGAGGAAGTGGAGGGGGAGAGGTGGGAACGAGGTGGGGCGTGGCGCTGCGGATTCGAAACGACGACCCAACACACAGAAGGGTTGGGAGAAACAAGAAAAAAGCGCCCGATAACCGCGGTCCTCGATCCTCCTCACTGCCCCCCGCACCGCCATGAAGCATCAACATGTACAGCTGCCAGTCCTACCCTGGATAAGTGGGGACGGTGGATGTGGGTACGTTCCCGCCCCGACATGGATACATGGGTATGGATCCCGGGGGCGGGCAACAGGGCACGACTTTCGGGTGGCAGATATCGGTATCCCAAGAGTGTCTAGGCCCATGAGTTCCTCCGAACTCGCCCCTGCGTTCTAGAAAGCTCAGGCGAACAAGCTTCCCTCCCCGTCCCCCGCCCAACGCGGGAGTTTCTAGAAACTCGCCATATGAGGTTCGAGAAACTCGCGACTTTCTAGGAACTCGCCCTTGAGTTTCTAGAAGCTTGAGCGACATGCTTCCCTCCCCGTCCCTTGCCTCGCCCGGGAGTTAATGAAATACGTGATGTCCTAGAAACTCACCCTCCTGAGCTCCTCCTGAGTTTCTCACGAAGTTCTAATAGTTTGCCCTCCCAGGGGTTTCTAGAAAGACACGAGTTTCTAGACACTCCGCCTGTGTGTTCTAGAAACCCTGCCGCCATGAGCTACAAGCTCATCCCCAGAAGCTCTAATCACCTCCTGCAATTCTGAAAACTATACTCCAGAGTTTCTACTGGCCCGGTGCCTTGGCCTATCACATCATGAGTTTCAAGAAGCTCGCCTCCTGAGTTTCTAGAAACTCGACACACTGAGGTCCTCGAAATGCTCGAGCTACTCGAAGCTCACGGCCTGAATCGTAAAAGCTTCGGCGCCTGAGTTTCTGGAGACACGCCCTGCTTCGAGAAACTCCTCGGCTTCTAAAAACTGTCGCGGCCATCCTTGGCGGTGAATCCCCCCAGAGGCCTTCGCAGGCACAAGCAAGTAAACAAAGACCAAAAAACCTCGACCCTCGATCCGATCAGGCCCCCGAGCGTCAACTAAGGCGACCAGGCAGACCAGAGCTACTGAACTGAGGGGCTTCGGTTTGCCTCGCGGCCAGCGCGCCAAAGTGAAGGGGAACTGGGACCCACAAATAAATGGACACAAATAACCAGATTCCCCATATTTTTTATATTTCCTGGGTTTTCGTCTTCCCCCCACTTCCCATAGTGTCCCAGATTTTCCTGGGAGTCGAGGATTAAGTGTGTCTGTGTGTTTCTTTCCCTCCTGACAAAATCCTTGAGCTCAGTTCCCCTAGCCTCCCAGATCCGCGCGGTGCTCCCCGCGGGCCCGATCGCCGAACTCTGCAGCAGCGCAACCAGCCAGACATCCGACGGATGTGCTGCCTTCTGCCCGCGGGCCACGCCCGACACGCCCCTCCCCTCCCCCCGCGTCCTCCTCCTCCTCCTCCTCCTCCTCCTCCTCCTCCTCCTCCTCCTCCCCCTCCTCCTCCTCCTCCTCCTCCTCCTCCTCCTCCTCCTCCTCCTCCTCCTCCTCCTCCTCCTCCTCCTCCTCCTCCTCCTCCTCCTCCTCCCTCCTCCCACCTCCCTCCTCCCTCCTCCCTCCTCCCTCCTCCCTCCTCCCTCCTCCCTCCTCCCTCCTCCCTCCTCCCTCCTCTCTCCTCCTGCTCCTCCTGCTCCCGGATCCGTCTCCGGTGGCTCCCCTGAGGGATCGAAGGGCCACCGCTGGGGTCGGACACAGCACGACGAAGTCCGAGGTCTGGCCCAGGGCCCGCACCACCAAACTGCCTCCAGACCCCTCCTGCGCTCCGCCCTGGCCCACTCATCGTGCCGCGCCCGGCCGCGACGGCGAGGACGGCCCCACAAGCCCCCCCCCCCTCCAACCAAACGAGACGAGGAACGAGGAGCGGGGAGCGAGGAGCGAGCAGGAGCGAGGAGGACGAGGAGGACGAGGAGGACGAGGAGGACGAGGAGGAGGAGGAGGACGAGGGGGAGCGAGGAGCGAGGAGCGAGAGGCGAGGGGCGAGGAGGAGCCGGGAGAGCAGGCGAAGCGACGGAGGCGAGGACCTCGAGGCCACCGACGGGGGCCGGAGAACCCGCGGGTCCCCGACGGCGAAGCACAGGAGCGGGAGAGCCACCGGCTTCGTGGCCGAGCCCGCGCGCCCCGCCGCCGGCAGGTACCTGGCCGGGCGCGGGTGCTCTGCCTGCGGCTCCTGCGTCCCTCGAGGAGGACAACGAGGGAACGAGCTCAGGGGCCCGAGAGGGGGGTGAGCAAGTCGTGGCCGCAGGCACGTGCGCGGGCGAGGGGAGGGGCAGGGGAGGTGATAAGATTCACCAGCCCAACGGGCCAGAGGCGCGCTGGCATCTCTGGTGACGGGCTTAGAAGAATTCTTGTTTGCGCGCGCGGGGGGCCGCCCCTGGGGTTCCCCAGAGGAAGAATACCCAGGCAAACTCCCCTCAAGGATCAGAGCCACGACTCCCCAGGGCGGTGCTCCGGGCCCCCAAGAGGCCCCCGAGACGGTTTAAGAGGGTCCCAAATCGCTGAACGATCGGTTTAAGACGCTCAAGATGGCCTCCAGTCGGCAGAGAAAGCGCCCAAGGCGTCCCAAGAGGCCTCCAAAAGCATTCCCAAGAGGGCCCCGAGAGACCAAAATCATTGATTTTCCATGTGTGCTTTCAGTGTTTCTAAGCTCCTCCATTTCTCTCGATTTCTACGTTCCAAGACGTCTCAAGAGGCCCCCAAGACCGCCCTGAGACGGCCCAAGAGGCCCCCACGAGGGCCCCAAGACTGCCCAAGAGGCGCCCAAGACGGATGAAGAGGGCCTCAAAAACGGCCCCAAGAAAGGCCCAAGAAGGGGAGTACGAACCGAAAATCCGAGCCCTCCGCCCCAAGAGACACCAAGGAGGCCCCAAGAGGCCGCACAGAGGTCCCAAGAGGCTCACAAGGGGCCCCAAACAGCACCCGAAAGGCCTCAGAACTGCATCCAGGAGGCCCCTGACAGGCCTCGACGAGATCCCGACGGACATCCAAAATGGCTCAGACCACCACCCAAGCACGGTGGTGGGATGGACCCAAGGCCGTAAGACCTGGGCCGGCAGGGTAACAGAAAGACCGCATCAGAAACTTGCCCGAGATGGCTCGTGGCACCGTTCGCTCTTTGGAGCCTCGGTGTTAAGAGTTGTTTGCATCACCGCTGGCTATTGGTGGCCTTTGTGCTGGGTTTTTTTTACGTTACCGCTCGCTCTCGGGAGCATCGGTGTTAAGAGCATGTTACGTCACTGTGAGCTCTTAGGAGCCTTGGTGTTCAGAGTTTGTAATGTCACCGTTCGCTCTTGGGAGCCTGGTTTGAAGAGCTTGTCACGTCAGCATGGGCTCTTGAGAGCCTTGGTGTTCAGACCTTTTTACGGCACCGCTCGCTCTTGGGAGCCTTGGTGTTCTGACCTTGTAACAGCAACGGTCGCTCTGGGGAGCCTTGGTGTAAAGAGCTTGTCACGCCACTATGGACTCTTGGGAGCATTGCTGCTCAGAGATTTTCCCAACCGTCCTGCGGTGTTGGGTCCTCGCTTTGAAGAGTGAGTCCCCGCGTTCCTCTCCTCCTCCTCCTCCTCCTCCTCCTCCTCCTCCTCCTCCTCCTCCTCCAACCTCCACCTCCATCCTCCTCCTCCTCCTCCTCCTTCCTCCTCCTTCTCCTCCACTCCTCCTCCTCCTCCTCCCCTCGTCCTCCTCCACCTCCTCCTCCTGATCCTCCTCCTCCTCCTCCTCCACCTCCTCCTCCTCCTCCTCCTCCTCCTCCTCCCGTCACGCCCCTTCACTTTGGCACACCACTCACACGTTCCGCGGCCCCATAGGGAACTCCACCGAAGGCCACAGTGCCACCGTCCACACGCGCCCCCCGCACCCATTTCGGCACACCCCTCACACGCTTCGTGGCCTCATAGGGATTCCATCGAAATCCCTACTACCACCGTTCACATGCGTCCCCCCCGCCCATGCCGGCACACCCCTCACACGTTTCGTGGCCCCATAAGGGGGCTCCACTGAAGGCCCCAGTGCCACCGTCCACATACGTCCCCCAAGCCAATTTCGACACACGCCTCACACGCTTCGTGGCTCCACGGAAGGCCCCAGTGCCACACTCCACATGCGTCCCCCACACCAACGTCGACACACCCCTCACGCGCTTCGCGGCCCCATGGGGAACTCCACCGAAGGCCACAGTGCCACCGTCCACACGCGCCCCCCACACCAATTGCGGTACACTCCTTCACACGCTTCGTGGCCCAATAGGGAGCTCCACCGAAAGCCCCAGTGCCACCGTCCGCATGCGTCCCCCACGCCCGTTCCACACACTTCTCACACGTTTCGTGGCCCCTTAAGGAGCTCCGCCGAAGCCCCCAACGCCACCGTGCACATGCGTCTCCCGAACCCGTTTCGGCACACCCCTCACACGCTTCGTGGTCCCATATGGGAACTCCACCGAAGGCCCCAGAGCCACAATCCACATGCGTCCCCCACATCCATTTCGGCACACCCATCACACGCTCTGTGGCCGATAGGGAATTCCACCGAAGGCCACAGTGCCACCATCCTTGTGCGTCCCTTTCGGCACACCCCTCACACGTTTCGTATCGTACCGAAACTTGGTGACCTGGCGGTACAGGGTATGACCAGTCGCTGTATAGGCCGGGGTCGTTCCTGCTGCCATGGCCGAACTAGGGTCATCGTACCCACCGTGGGCTGCCGCTGCGTTCTTAGGTTCCTTTGCCTGCGGGGGCCGAGGGTCTAACACAGTCGGATCCTCGTCCTGCCAATCAATCCACCTTTCAGAAAATCGATGCTCGCATCCCAAATATCGCCCCACCAGCGTCTGCGGGTCCATCTCGATGCCGTTAGGCGCAGTCTCCGGAGGGCTCAAAATGAGGCCCCAACCTTCCTGCATGTTCCCGGCCAAGACAGCCAATTTGAAATCATCGACGCACACTTTGAGGAAGAACATCAGCTCTGGCCGGCGATAACACCTGCGCCACGACGGGATACTTTCGAAGCCGTTGGATACAACATGCGCTTCGCAGTGCTTCCCCCAGAATCCCTCAGCGTCAGGATAACCGAACAACGCCAATCGTCAAGGACATACCGAATCGCACATCCCTCCCAGCTCTCTGACCATGCCTCCTTAGGTAGTCTAACCCACGTGGGCACCCCTTCCAACACCGACTGAGTGCACGTCTGGCGCGCGACAGCTTGCTGAATATCATGCACTGGGAATTGCCCGAAGGCATCGGCAGTTCCACCGCGCCTGCGTCGCGGGAGGGCAACGAGGAGAGTTCCTGAAATAGTGCTACTTTCTTGTCTTGATCGATGCCGTCGGAACCGTCGAAGACGACGCGCCCCTTGAACTTCCCGTCTCTGTGCCCCTCTGGAACTCGGCGTTCTTTTCGACAAGGGTGGCGAAGAGCCTACCAGTATGGAGGGCATCGCCCCCCATCGTTTTTCCGCGCCCGACTCAACTTCACGACCTTACTCTCAGCCCGCGCGTTGATCTCACGCAGTCTACCCCACTCCTTCTCCAAGGCAGCGGCGGCCCCTTCGCCGTTCGCCGCCCCAACCTTAGTAGCTGGCCTGGCAACGCAAGCAGCGCTGGACATATCCGAAGGTATAGTGAAAGGATCTGGTTCGCCACGTCGAGCACCATCAACCGCGAAGAATTTGCAGCAAGGTCGCAGTCATCGCTCTTTCTCCCGGCAGCGAATGCCGCTCGCATTCCGGAGCCTTAAGGCCACGCGAGGGCCGCGGCGCCCACCGGCGGTCGCTGCGCAGGTCAAGCCCGCGGAGTCCCATGCAGTCTTGTCTCCGGGATAGGAACTAAGATCAGTGCCCGCGCTATTCACGCCCTCACACGCAATCCCCACCTCATCCCCTGCCGCAGCGCCATTGACATAGTCGCCAAACGCATCGGCGGACGGGGGGGGGCGCGCCCACGGCCGGCATAACGCATTTAACCAAACATCGTGGGTATTGATTCCGATCTCGCACAGCAAATCAACATTTGGCCCAAATCCATAGAACCCTTTTTCTCCATATGCCTTGAACTCGGCAATCGCTCTCGCCCCAGCTGGGCCCCCCATCTTCCGCCGCCGATCTGGATGAACGCCTGGCTTCGCAGTCCTTTCTAAGCACAACGCCATCCGTCTGCGCGGCGTCGGGGGTGCGATATCGCTGGTCGCAATAGAAAACCACACGAACATCTGTCGTCTTGCTCCTGCCCGTCAATGGCAGAAGCTGACTAGGCCCCTGGCGAGACTTTCCCACTGCGGCGACTCGTGCTCGAAGTATTCGCCTGTCTGTAGTTTCTGGGCGGTTCGTGCCATGAGACGTTCGAGTTTTGGCTACCCCCTCTCGGGCGCGGCCAGGAAATTGAATCGTCTCGCAAGATTAACCGCCCTCTCAGCCAACGAGCCCCCCCTGGCACCAACGCTTTGCATAGCTCTCTGCTCGGCCCCCGCAGGCAGCGGCGGGGCGGGGGGAGGTCCGGGGGGCCCTTCGTCGTCTGTCGGGCCCTCCCCCGCCACGCCCACAGCCGCCTCTTCTGCTCCTTCGCCATGGGCAGGAGGCGGCGGTGTCTCTACCCCAGCTTTGCTTCCAGCTGGCCCGCTCGACGACACGGACCCCCCCGCGGACGACTGGCCGCCGTCGGTAACATTGTCTCCTTTCCAAAGAAAAGTCGTAGACGCAAGGTCTCAGGCCTTCCTCAGCAAGAAATAAA